GTTAGTAAACATGACTGCATTCTATGTTTGCTGATGAGTCCACATGGTTCTGCGAGGAACATATTTCCTCTAGAATGTGACATCTTAACCACCAAAGAATATAAATATTGGTCTTAGTGCTTGAGCAAATCATCTCAAACAAGTGAATCACAATTTTAAAGCACCATGTTGTACTGCAGCATTATTGAATTTCTGTATAGATCAAAGCTGTGACAGATGTTCATGTTACATTGACCATGGTGATATCATTTTTTTTCAGTTGAAACAACCAGTATCCTGAGGAGCACTGCATTGAGTTCTGTGGTAAGTTCTGCTTCTTAGTTGTTCTCATTGGAAAATAATACAACACCATAATTTAAAGCTTGATCTGACTGGGGGAAAAAATAATAAAAAAAAAAAAAAAAATCAGGTTTTCTCAGAAAATGTTAGTTTTATTGAGACTTGAAGTTTGCTTTAGTTGTGTGTTGTACTCTGTAGCCAGTTTCATTGACAGCATGCTCTGCTGTTCTGGGAGTCGAAACGGCCGCATATATTAGTCCAGCAAAAGTAGTGACTGTGGACATGCTTGCTTTTCTTGTGCTTTGTTAATCTAGCCATCCCCTCCAGAATAAGGTGTTTTACTGATTCTGGGTTCCAGTGTGAGAAACGCTACTAAGGAGCAGCAGAACTCTCTGGGCATTCTGGAGCAGCAATGCCTGTTAAGTGCCTGAGCTATATGCAGATGTAGAGCTCAGAAAAAATACTGCAAAAATGAGTTGATTGCTGCTTCACTGGTATTACCCCACTTGTGCTGATTCACAGCAGTTGACAATTGAGTCTAAGATGATCTTCTTACAGTGGTTCTACATAGCCTGTCATGGTATTTAACTTCAACCAAGCTAGCTTTCTTTGGAGAAAATTGCAGTATTTCTAAAAGCAGTGTGGAAATTCAGTAAGAAGTTGGGAGTCTGGTATGCTTGTAAATAAAGTGTTTGGGTAAGAGAAGACTTTCAGGAATTGCCCTGAGTCAGGTAACTCCTTTGCGGCCTGTCTGTCTTAAAAGCAATGAGGAATCTCAGTAAGTTAATAAGCTTGCAAGTAATCAGATTTTCCACACGCAGTCATGTCCTGTAAGTGCAATAGAGTGTATTAATAGTACTCCAATGTAACATTTTCCAAGTGTTTTGTAGTACTGCTGGTTGGGTCATGTACTTCTAACAAGCGTTAACATTCCTCGGGGAAGACTTAGAGTTTGAAGTGCCTTATTCTGCCATAAAATGAGGAATAATCAAATCTGTGAAGAAGAGGCCACTGTGAGGTTGGCAGGAATATGTGTCACTTGTGTATTATATAGTAGGCATTTCCTCTTTTCCTTCAATGAGTTGGAGGAAACCACTGTGAAGTATTTGTATTGTATGCACAAAGAAGAATATAACATAAAGCATTCATGTTTCTTGCTTAATTGCCATTTGCCTGTAGTGTATTCTGGAACAGCATAAGGCTGGAATCGCTGCTCTTACACCAAAATCTTTACCAGGTTCAGACTACAGCTGCCCACTGTCTACACTTTATGATAGCATGCTGTGATGGTGCTCTGCTGGCGGGCAGCAGGTTTCCATGGCAAGAACGTGGTTGGAGAAACAGAATTCTTCACAACACCTTTTCAGGTATTTTCTGATACCCTGTTTTCACAGTTATTAATGAAAAAGAAACTACCAAGCAAGAATGCAATCTATGACTTTCTGTTGTGCCATTTGTTAACATCGTGCCACTTTATTTGGTAATTGCATTAGTACACGCCAGGTACGAGTTCATCAGAGTGCTGCAAGGGCTGGGAGCTCCTTGGAGCTGCAGGGCCTCCTGGGGGGGAGACATCAGGTTAGGGATGGCAGCTGGGCTCTGTTACACCTCCTGCACAAGCATACAACCCTGTGCATGGGCGGAGGATGAACTGGGAGCACTAAGCCATGGGAAGGGTCCAGTGCTGAGGGGAATGGAAGTGTTGCAGGCACCACCTAACTGATGTTGCATCAAACCTCAAGTGGTGATCTATACAGTCATTTTTGGTCATCCCTAGTAGGTCACTGATGATACAGAGTACCCAGTTATACTTTCTATTTATTTATTTGAAATGCTTTGAAGAGTATTTTTAAATTAAACCTCATTTCTTCTATTTTTCTTTGCACTGGAATTACTGTGTGCCATTGTTCTAAAACTTGAATGTTGCATACAAGATATTTGTGCTCTTGTAAATTCTGCAGACATTTTCTTGGCTTCTCAATATTCCATTGATGCAACTCTTCATTTAAAAAAGAAAGGTTCTTGCCAACTTACATGAAGTCTGCTTTGGCCTATACCTCCACACAGCTACAAGCAGCAACACAACCACACTATCCCCATCCAGAAGTAGGACTTAGTCTAAATGCACAGAGTGCTCAAAGCTCAGATTTCTCTCTCAGTAGCAAGCCACTAAACATAATGAATTATTTTTATCTTCATGAGTGGTAGCTCTTCATAGTGGCCACAGTTCAAAAATATCACATCCAGGAAGCTTAAGCACTTAAGACCCAATTTCCTTCTCGGGTATGGAGGGTAGAGAGGGTATGGCTAGGTCATTGCTGCACTCACAGTGTAACTGTGTAAGAGTTGGCATTGAACAGACTGGGTAGGCTGACATGAGCAGCCTCGTTTGGGCTTCACAGAGCCTCAAGTAGTCTAACTGCTTTGTCTGTTCCCTGTATTTCAGATGAGTTTTTAATGTAGTTGGCCATGTTGACATTAATAAAGCATGCAGAGAGTGGGTCTGGAGGAGATGTGTGCACATAGAGCTGCATCTTCCCCTCCAGACAGCAAGTCTCCTGCTCCTAGTGGCCTCTGCTGTGAAACATGTGTTTCTGTCAGGGGGCTGCATTCATGGGAAGATGTCTTTTAGAGAAGATGTGTATGTGGCCGTTAGCTCTGGAAGGGTGCAGAACAGCCCTGAAACGAGGTCGAGAGCTTCACAAGAGGAGCAGCTGGTGACAGGGGAGATTTTCACAAGAATGGGAGAAAGGTGGTGGGCAGGTAGAGCAGTGCTAATTACATCAAGTGCTTGGGGAGATCATGCAGTACAGTGCTAGTTGGACTGGCAGTCAAACATTTAGGTGGAGAATAACACAGCTGAAAAATTTAAGAAATAACTTCTCCTGCCCCCAAAATGTTGGTACAATTCTGTAAGGTAGGAAGAGAGTAAGGAATCAAAGGAAAGTAATTTCTTTGCTATCTAGTCACATCCTCCCACCACAGAATCACTGCAGGATCTTGTGCCTGCTTGCTTGCCACAGAAATAATTTCTGCACCTAATTATGTTGAGGCTTCCTACTATCACTTATTCCGCACCTCAAAGCCTTAGCTTTTCAAATAAATTCTTTGTTCCACCCCTGTCTCTGCTTTGGCTTAGCCAAATTTGGAATCAGTTTGCCAGTCACCATCTTCTTCCATTTTAGAAAAGTCAGGTTATTTGGCAGTAACTGCTAAGGGGTCGAACTTAAGCCAGTCATCTTGACACTGGATGTTCCTTTAGTGTGGAGGATACTTTCTTAGTGTGGAGTTCAGGCTGTGTTTTGGCTTATGCTGTTTCCTTTCAGAATGATCACTTTCCAATGTTAATTTAATTTCACAGAAGGCATATGCTTCACATCTGAGCACCGTGCTGGGACTGCAGTGCAGGCTGGAGGTGTGTGTGCCGAGGCCATTCCAGCTGCCCATGCCTGTAGAAGGGTGCAGCACTGACTCGGGCTCCTGAGCTGGAACTGGGGCTCCTTCATCCCCTCAGTAAGTCAAACTCATCACAACTTGATTCCAAGCACTCCTATGTGAAAGAGCCTTTCAGCTGATGTCAGTAGCATTTCTGGTCTCTTTCCCATTCCCCTTTATCCTTGTGCTGTCTCCAGAGAACATAATCAAGCATGGGAGCTTGTAACAGTCAGGGCTGTGAGATTATGTAGCATCAAGCACGGCCTTGAGGAGTCACATTTGCTGACATTAAGTTGACTACAGCTTTATGGTCATTTTACACATGACAGCATGTCAGCTGTGTAAACCTCCCAGGAACAAGAGATTGCCTATGACTAGCTGCCATGAAATTGAAATGATTTGTCTGTGTCTGCGTGGAGTGGAAAATGTGGCAATTGTTTGCTAATCTTCTCAATTTCTCAAGCTTGTTTTCTAATCCAGTGTAATTTTGTAGTGAAGACAAAGCATTTATATGGTTCACAATGCAGGTGTGTGCCAACTCCTCCCCACTCCATCAGTTCGTTCCTCAGCCTGCCATCAGATTTAATGGGCTTCAACTTAAAGCAACCAGACCATGTTGTTTTTTTCCTAACTTCAGAAAAATTTATATCAAGGGAAATCTGTGCCACTGTGGAGAGAAATGTTACTCAGGGTCACTTCAGGTAAAAGTAGGTGAGCCCTGACCAACTGGATTTCCACAGACGTGTTGTGGAATAAGGGACTAGTTAGCGTAGCAGAGGTATGGTCTGAGCTGATGGATTCCTGTGCTTTTGGTGTAAATGTGTAGGTAATGATGGGCATGCTAGAGTGCACCTTGAGCATAGGCAAATTTATAAATGATTGCTGCTGTTGTCATTTTTCAGACTTAAAAACCCTACGATAAAGCCCATGATGTATTTAAATAACAGGGTGATACCTTGAATATGGCTTTTTGAACATAATTCTACCCAAGATATCTATATTTTGCTTTAAATTAGGATTAAAAAAATGATAATTATTCTGATGTCTTACTTTTCAGCAAAAACTGGCAGCTCCTATATATTCCAAAATTGGACTGCTCCTTTATATTCCAGAACCTGACTGCTACATGTGTCACAATCTAAATAGAAATGCTTTGTTTTTATTTTTTGTAGTATTTTATTTCATGTGACTTGAAGTATACTAAAGATTGAGATAAACAGACATTATGCAACAACCCGTTTAGTACAGAACATTTGATATGAAAAAGACTCCCACTGAAAAGCTGCTGGTGTCAAATAATCATTTCTTCTGCATTTATTGACTTGCACCCATCCAAATGACAGGGGCTAGGCTGTCAACAGGGAACAACACTATTCCAACAAATGGCTGTGAAACCCTGCGTGGTTGTTATCGCATCAAAACCTTTATGGAACTGTACACTTCTGGCTTCAGTGTTTTCTCTCACACATTCAGAAACAATAGAGGAGGAACTATCTGTGGTTGTTAAGAAACAAGGCTACTTTTTACAAACAACCTTCCCCTAGATATAGTTGATCTTAAGCTGCGTATCTGAAGTTCTGGTGGACTTCGGGCTTGACATCATATGTTATGTTCAGAAGCTTTTTCATCACGCTCTCCTTGTTCTTCTGGTAGCTGCTGGTGAGGTTTCGGATGGTTTCTGTTGTTTGCTCTTCTATTTGAGTGGAGAGGTTACCTTGGGAGCCCATTACCTGAAAAAGCAAAAGTCCTCTAAACAAGGCAGACATTATGCATGACTGTGTTTATTGCACTTCTCTTTATTGTCTAGCATAAACATAATGCAAACACGTCACACTGTTTTCTAACAGTAAGGGTATGATCTAGGTTGAACCGTACACATGAAAACAGAATTAAAGGCAACTCTTTCATATGCTCATTAGCAATAGGAATCTCCCATGTAATGCAAATTTCCCAGCTCCCTGTGGGAACAATGCTGTACGTGTTTTGTCTTTTAACCATTCATTTTATTCATTTTCTGTTTTAATGACTAGTCAACTGAGTTTCAGCACTCCTGTGCCTCATTTGGCCTCATTCAGAATGAATGCGAGCACAGCTAAGGAGCAAAACATGGGAAAGCCTTCCCGAAACTGCATTGTTAGAGTTTCAGAGTATTTGAAATGTCTTCAGCAGCTACCGATGTATAACCCTCAACAGGCCTCAGACAAGGTCTTTTAATGTTACATTTTCTTATCTGGCAAAGTACCAGACAGCTTCTGGCACAGTTAATATCAGGACGTTCGCTTAGAATTTAATTGACTCTCCGCTCGCTGAACATTTTAGCAAGGTTATGTTATAAACAGATGCACACGTTCCAAATCCGTGGCTTTGTTCCTCCTCCCCCACTGCCCCAACATCTCTCGCATTCTTCCCTTATGGAAAAGTCCTTCAGATACTGAGAGAGGATTTTGTTTTCAGCTGGAGAATTCCACAGGGAAGAGCGGAAGACATTTCTGCACACAGAGTAAGAAAGTAATAAATAACATATTCTCCTTGTTCCTGTCACAGTTCTCTGGGGCGGACTAGCAGCTGGACTAACCTGTGATGGTAGTAGGGGTACATAGAGGATGACCTCAAACAGGAGGAGTCATTAGTTGTATTTTCCATGTGACTTCTGCCCAACTTAGTACTTGAAAGAAGGAGAGGCAGCTGAACTATGATCTCCTTTTGCACAAATCACGCTTGCAATTATCTGTACCTGGCAACGTAGTAAGAAGTTTGTCTGCAGTCCAGATGTAAAACATTTTCTGATTTGGAAGAAATACAGGATGTAGACACAATTGTAAACACTGGGAAAAGAGTATCATTTTCTGTAGTAACTATTTTTAGTTGGCATTTTATTTTAGCTTTTAGACAAGTTGTAAGGGTCTCATGTGGGAAAGATTGTACAGCTTAAACCAGATTTATGAAGCTGATTTTTTCCACTGGGGAAAATAACTTTCTAGAGATCCCAGATGGTTGCATGTTATCCAGCTACTAAATATTTTTGCAAAACCTCAAGGAGAGGATTATAATAAGAAGAGCGTCTCTAAATCAGGAACCTGCTCTCCTGGTTTGTGCTAAATACTGATCTGAGATGGTTGATTCTTAATCTTATTTTTCATCTTTTATTTCCACTCCACTTCTGAATTCGTTCTCTTATCAGGATCCAGGCAATGTTCAGTTTAGTTTGTGATTTCTTCTGACCTTTATAGTCTGTCCATCATTTTGCCCACGCTGGTTTTATGTTAGAGGCATTCCGAAGTTGCTGATGCATTACTCTGTTTCTGAAAGCACAGGTTTGGAGCCAGCGTTCACAATGCCGGAGTTCAGTGACCTCAGACCTGAGTGCAACACCACGTGCACTATGAAAACCAATTTGGGTTCTAAACTTCAATTTTGTATGTCTCTTGTGAAAAGTTGTTATTTCTGAAAACAAAGTCTTGCTGTTCGTCACTCTAACCTCATGTTAATCATGACTTTTTTTTTGTCATTGTTCATTTTGAACTGGTGCCGAACATCTCATGGGACAGGAAAAATTACCCCAGGAAGGTCCAGCAACACACAGTAAGATGAGAAACAGCATTAAGTGAGACTGACCAAAAATTATATTAGTGTCTGCATACACGAGCCAGCAAACTGAGCAGGGTGTCAGACCTTCTTGGGTTACCTCCTCACTGCCTTCTAAGTGCAGGTTAAATGTGATGACGTTGCTCTGAGGTAGCTAAATGTTCTGCATAATGGGGCCAGGGAACTTGAAGCAGGACTGCAGTGATCTTACACAGCATGCTCTCATTTGAGGAGCAATGCATGCTCTGGCCTGCTTGTGTAACATGCTCAGGTGTCGAACAATGGCCTCTGCTTGCAGCTTGAGTTTTTGTTTATGATGAAAATATTGAGTGCACCAAAACAAAGTTTTTTTATTTCTCCTCTGCTGTGTATATTAGACTAAACCAGGAGGTTCTGTTTGGTTGAGAAGTTTAAGACATTTAGATGCATTTTTACTTTGTTAGGATCAGTAAAAATCTGAAGTTGTTTGTATAAGACAAGTCCACCTGGCCTGGCAGACTGGTAGTGTGTCTGGAGGCTGACAGTGCATACAGGAAACTTGGTGTGTATGTTCTAAAAATTATGATCTCTGCTGGGAAATGTATTATGTGAAATATGTCTGAAATAATATATTTATATGGCAGTTTTTATTTGACCTCCTTGGCTTTTTTGTTGTTGCTGTTTTTGAACAGTTTTCTTTCCTTTGAACAAAACAAACAGGAAGGAAACAAGAAGAAAACCATGAGGAAAGTTGCGAAGCAAAAAGAGAATAGTTTGTGAAATATTATGAAAATGGCAGAGATGACAGCAAGATGCCATAAATATATAAAACAAACTGCAAATCAGATAAGGGAATATCCAGACAGTTGTTTCTAGGAAGATGAGAAAAACTCCAAAGCTTGGGTGATTTCAGTTCATCAAAGATGCGCTGTTCTATGCAGTTAAAAAGCTCAAGTGGAACAGAGGGAGCTGATCTCTCCACAGAAGTGGAAGTGGAAGACTGGAACATCTACCTTATTTCAACCTCCAGTTTCGGGGCAGAAACGAGGTCTTTCTGGAACACTCCTTTAGGAGAACCTGAAAGTATTGTTGCTTAAGGGAGAAAATGCTTTCCAAAGGGCAAACGTGAACCGTAATACAGAATCAGGACAATTTCAGTAGTTAAAATCCACAATATCAGGTACAAATGCATTCCAATCCTGTGAAAGAAGTCAAACTGAAGTATATGCACAACATAGGTGAGGCCTGTGTGACAGGTGTGTTTAATCAGCATGGCCAGGTGAGTTTATGAGTGTCCACATCCTGCTCTTTGACACAGTTTGGTTTACTGCAAAAGCCCGTACAGGTCTCACTTACGTTTGTTTGCTTGTTCCTGAATTCCTTCTCCCTCTGCAACCGGTAATGGTCTATCTCAGCTATGGCTTCTTCTTTGGCCTGCTTCAGTCTCTTTCCCTTTCCTAACAGAGGGAAGAAACGCAGATTTATGTCACAGTCATCACATTATCCCAAAAGGTGCATCTCCCACCATAAGAGATATTTCACTTGGGTAGAAGTTTCCTGGACAAAGTTTTGAGCAAGGTGAGCAGCAGTGGCATTTGCACAGAATTGGTAGAAGAGCCAAAGGGATTTAGTAGGGCTCTTTTAGAGTGAAAATACCTATCTTCTGAGATCAGCTCTCTACACGAAAGCACACACCAAAATGAAAATCTTGCTGGTTTGCTAACAACAGAAGTCCTTTTGCAACTACACGTTTTCTCATAACACAAATGACTCTTTTTTCATCACAGCTTTGTGTTTAAATAAATATCTATCTTCCCTTCATCAGCAATAGTAGCAGCCAGATAACAGATTTTAGTTGTCAGTGATTGGAAAAGACGTTATTTTGTGAGGTTTTTCTGCATCGATTGGCCGCCAGGATCCCTTCATCCCACACCAACTGGGTTCTGTTTAGAGCTGGCAGATTTCCAAAGTGCTGCAAGATACATCTTAACCATTACCAAACTGAGCTGCAATCTCCTGGCTCTGTCCTCTTTGCCCCCACCCTTTTTCCTGAACATCTGTTAAATGCAGAGGTGGGTGATTAAGAGAAAAAGGAAGCTGATAGTATTCTCTACAAATGTGCAGAAAACATCGAAGTTATTGTGAAGTCTTCATTTTATTTTTAAATAGGATGATGAACTTAAAAATGGCAGTTTAGGCAGTAGTGAAAACTAGACTTTTCCCCTTGGGAAGGCTTGTGTTTACAAGCTTAATTTGTTCTTAGGTAAATACTAAGGGTATATGAAATGAAACCCATGTAAGTTATTGCAGGAGCAGGTAAAAGGCACGGCCTGGGTGTCACAGCGATGTTAGATAAGGATGAAAGTAGAGGGATTGATGGGCATGTGATAAGTTTTTACACAAAGGAAGTACTCAGCATCTCATGACATTGCCATGGTTACACGTTGTGTGCATGCTTTGCATGTAGAAACTTGGAAAAGTTGTGGATCTCGACATGATTCTGCTATGCTACTTTCTGCAGATCACTAACTGATAGGGCAGCAATCCTCTTGCATTGAAAGCTGATGCATTAAGTTTAAAGCTGCTGGCACTGATGCTGATTTGTTGTTTTTATTTTTTTTATTTCTTTGGTCTCTTTCTCCTATACATCTAGAATGTAAGGGGTGGGAGAGGATACTCTTGCTCAACTGGATAAGAAATCCCTTGTTTACTTGCATAAATGAGGATAATGCAAAACTGGACAACTGAACATGTTTGCTTAATCTGATGCATGAAATGCCCCTTCATTAATTTACTGTAGCTACCTATTTGATGTCACTGAGAAATATCAGTACTTTCACAAAGCTTTTGGTTTGTTTTTAAATCTTCAAATGCAAGTACACTGAAAACAGTATCTTTTTGGAAAGCCTGAAGAACATTCCTGAACTAAGCTGGGGAGCTGTGCATTCCAATTTCAGACCTGTTTTTTCCAGGTGGCTCTGTCGGATTGGTTGCACCTGTGCTGGGCTTCTGAAGCCTTATCAGGTGTGACATGTAGCAATCTGCCAACTGGGCAGGGCACAACAGAGCCGAATGTGAGAGAAAGGCCATTGTTTTTGGTATGTTTCTGACTGGGCAAAATTCCCGATCCAGTGGTAAAGTATTTGCTCAGCTGGTGGCCCCTTCAGAAGCTTTATCTGCAGGACAGTGAGCAGGAGCAGAGATTTGCCTGAAACATGGATTTCTTTTTGAAGTTCTGGTTCTCAAACCGTTGGATTTCATGGACAGACTTATTGTGGGTAACACAGAGAGGTGAGGTTTTACAGCAAGAAGGAAAATGGTGGGGAGCTCCACAGCTTTACAGCCTTTCAGTTCATCAGTGGTGTACTCACCTGTGCAGGCTGTTACTCATCTCAGAGTTCTCCTGCCATGAAAGTAATATAGTTTGTATAGAGGAATAATGATGTATTTTAATTCCCAAAAGTTTGAATTTACTTGATAGGAGCTGATACCTTCAGCTTCTGTGTCATTTTATGGAGTGTTGGGATCATACTGACAGACTCATGTAAAAGCCTGATATCAATCTGGAGAACAAAATTTGGGACCAGATGAGAACTGTGTTTTCAAATTGCTCTTCCTCTCATCTCCAAATTTAGAGCTGTTCAGCTTAATATAGAGGTTTTCCTTTAGAAATGGCACTGGGAGGAGATTCTCTGGAACTGTGATCAGAGGGAGTGACTAAAATGAAGCTCTGCCAATTTCACCAGCTGAAGAATTGGATCTCTATAGTAAATTAAATTATTTCAAAAATGGTGGGATTTTAATTTCAAATTCCATCTGGGGGGCCATCTGTACTAAATATGTTGCATATTTGGCCACGAGATAGATAAATGAATCCATTTAAAATGCATACAATAGAAAAGGAGGCTAACTATAGAAGTGCAGTTCATCCACCTCTCACAATGCAGCTGGGGAAGCAAAAAGTGAATATATACATACATGTCGGTTCCTGACACTGGAATAAGCACAATACATAGGGTGTCTCTGGAGGCTGATAGCCACTGGCTTTTTTTGTTTTCTTTTTTCCATGTTGCCTTTAGGATTGGCACAGCAGGAACCTGCTGTTTCCTATTTAATTAAGTGGAAAAGCTGTGAGTAAATTACTGCTAGTTCGAGAATGTTGTGGACAGAAGCAGCAACTGCCAACATATGCGATAGTGCATATGCTGCACCTGATTAAGTTAAGCAGAAACTAGAGCTTAACCTGCTGTTTCACTAGAGGCAAACCAAAATTAATTAATCGGTCTGTTATTAACCACTTGTCTGCTACCTTAGATGTACAATAAGGAATTGCCTTTTCCAGGTCTTACTGGACTTCTAGGTGGGATTCTCTATCATACAGCTGAGCTAATATTAAACCTTATGTCCTCATGGGTGGCAGAGCACAGCAATTAAGCCAAGATCATGCATAAAGTGGGCTAGAGAAAGAGGAAGGATGGGCGAGCCAACCTGTCTTTCATAGATTTACCCCAGGACTGAAAAGGTGAGGTGCAGAAAGCTCTCAGTTTGAAGAGACCTTTGTCCCAAGGGACATACAGTGAGGGCCAGGTCTGCTGCTGCCTGTTTGTCCTTCCTTCTTTCTCATCCTTCAGGACAGGGAACAGCAATGGAGCAGAGCTGTCCTGGCTCCATTTCCCACTATGCCCTGGATATGGTACCTGAGGGAGAGGAGGGGGAATCAGCAGGCTTCCAAGCTTCACGTTAAATCACGCTAATCTTAACCAGCTTTCTGTAGCTTTCTGTTATGCCCTTCTTTATAGGTATTGCCACAGTGTTAATGAAATAACTCTGGTTAAATTTGGAGCAACCAGAGTGATTTATTTATTTATTCAAGCATCTTGCAAGAGAAAGGCAGTAGGAATTAAATCTTTCTGAAAATTTTATGTTCTAATTTGCTTAAACACTGTTATCTTGCTTCCCCAGAATTGACTTGCTAAAATCATCTTTCTGTTTTCAAACAGATCATCTGGGCTTCTAGCTAAATTTCTGCACAGAAATGTCAAATGAATAAGCTGCCAAAAATTAATGACGTTTTCTTTATATAAGACTGTTTCTGTCGTTTTCTGCTTTGTTTTTTGTCTGCTAAATGGGATTTAGGAATGCTCATTTTTAAAGACTATTTTGCAGTTACAATAAAATGCAGTAAAACCAGCTGATCAGTGTATATATAGCTTTTTGCTAGTTAAAATATGTTGCGGGTATTGTCCAAGTGAGCATGATGGATGTAATTGATATCATTTTTCTGAAGTGTTATGTTAATATTTGTGAGTTTTTTTAACATGATTTCTTGAAAAGTTTCATGTAGGCTTCCATTGTATTGGAAACTAGAAATTCAAGCTAAGACATAAAAATCTATAGGAATCCAAGTTTTGCTAAATCCAGTGTACGTGACACATTATTTTCCCTTCTTTTAGCCAAAAGGGTTTTCAGAAATAGACATTTTGGTTCTGACAATGATAAGTTATTTCAGGGATACAATTTATGCTTAAGGAAAAAACAATAGACAAGGCAGTGCAGTGTACAAAAGGATAGAGAACAGCAAGCTCTTTTTTGTTCACAATTAATGGATTGGATGGTTTCAGCCTTGCATATGTGTATTTACCAATTGACTGTTAATAAATTGTCAGGTATAAATGACATCAGTTGATGATATGGCAAAGAATGTGATATGGAAGGCGAGATAAAGGATACTGAGCAAGAAGAGCTGTGATGCTACACTTTTGCTTTGCTTTGTAACTGTAATTGTATTTATTGGTGAGCTTCAGTGGTCCAAGTAGATTTTGCATTACAAACAGCTGCACGTATTTCAGTAACAGCCAGGCCCATTACCTGCTTATGTATGATTCTCTGTGTGTCCATTCTACATTTTGTTCTGATTATGTGAGTTTCAGCAGTAAACATGACAGTTTTGCAGAAGCGTACTTTTGGTAATTGCATTTCCTTGAAAATGACTTGCACTTGTGACCTTCGAGCAGCCGGCCTTTCCTTCTTCTCACATTACAGCATAAATAGGATAATCTGGTTTACTCAACCCATGGTGTTGTGCAAAGACTGTTTGCAGTGACAAGGAGGTCATATTTAGGGTTCAGCAGGGGCAGGGCTGCTTGGCATGGGCAGAACGGGTTCAGCACTCTAAACCAGAGCTTTGAGATGCCCGGCCAAGAGCAGCAGCTGCTGATCCCAGCTGGTCTGAGGTGGGCCAGGGCTGGTGCTTCTGAGGTGAGGAAGGACACCCTCACCTTGCTTCTCCGAACGGTGTGTGCAGGTTAACTGGTTGCACTTCAATATATTAATTCTGTTTGATGTTCCTTGTATTTTAGTCTCACTCAGAGGCAGACTTTGCAGTCATTAATGTTGATTCAACTGCTGAATCACTCTGGGAACAAGACTGCTGAAATAATTCTCGTTTGGCACAACAGGATTTGGCAGTAGGAAAACCTCTTCAGTCCCTGGCTGAAGTTATTTAGGCCATTCCTGGTATACTTAGGCATGTAAAAGTGGCACAGTGACATTGCCATGAAAACCTGAAGTGAAGGACAGCAAGGAGAATTTGTGCTAGCAACAGCAAGAGCGTGAGAGTGGAGATGAGTTATAGAGAAGGAAGTCATACTGATGAAATATTTGTATTCTGTTTTTACTGAAAACAAAACTTCTACAGCTTGTTTGCTGTAGCTGCTGAATAACTCTTCCCTCAGCACTGCAGCACTGGTAGGCATGGGCAGGGGTTGAACTCAGACTCAGAGGGATTTGGAAGGAAGCTTATCTAGAAGAAGCCCCATGTTTATCATGAGTGCTGTGCGTGGGGCTGGGTTGCTGACAGAGGAGTGTACTTGTAGGCAGAATAGAGTAAACCCAGCTTGGCTTATATCTGGACTCAGCAAGATGCTCATTTTGGTCATTACTTGAATGCTATAATGATACTTTTTATTTTGGAGACTTCTTAACTTACAGAGCTTCTTTTAAACTGGATGTTTCAGAAAAAGCCAAATTGCCTTTTTTTGTTGTTTACAAAAAAACCTCACACAAACACACAAAAATGTAAGTGATGTCAAGCTGTCACAGCTAAAGGACTGAGTCTGCAATTGGTGTTCAGACCTTACTCATTCCCTGCATGTGAGGTTGTGCCCTTACAGATCACCCAGTTTTTTTGCCCTGGGGAACCATGCATGTCCTCTGCCCTGCATCAGAAGGGGAGCAAATCTCATTGAAAGCACCTCAGCTGGCTGTAGAAAGGTTGAATTTCTACCTAATTATTCCTGGACTTCAAGTTTGGAATAGCAACCCCAAACACCCTTCTGGTGAGCCTTTTTTTTTTTTTTTTTTTTTTTTTTGAAGATGGGAGAATGCTGTTGCTTCTGCATGGCTGCAAGGCATGGGCAGCAGCTGGATGCTCAAGGAAGGGACGAGACTTTTCCACTTGTCTGCTGTACAAATTAGCACATCACACAATGACACTGATTGATATGTAGAGGGAATATGCATATTACGTAGACTATTTTTCTTTAGCTTCTATTTTTTCTTGGAAAACGAAATCCTTTATTGCACTATCTTGCTGCACATGGCATCATTCTTCACTGGAAGAGGTTGTCCAGAGAGGCTGTGAATGCCCTCTCCCTGCAGGTGTCCAAGGCCAGGCTGCACAGGGCCTTTGAGCAACCCGGTCTCGTGAGAGGTGTCCTGGTCTATAGCAGGGGGTTGGAACTAGATGATCTTAAAAGCCCCTTCCAACCCAAACCATTCTATGATCTTCACCCATTTTACTTCAGTGCTGCAGGATGCCATTAAGCTTCCTGTTTCTAAGTCAAGATTGTTATGTGAAATAGCATTCATCTGTCATGGCCAATGCAAGTTGGTGACTCATGTAGTTGGAACCTACATTCAGTAAACTGTGGCCACAGTATTTTGTGTTAAAATCAATAGGAGATGAATACAGAAAATGATTGATGGAATGGTATTCTTGCTTTCATGATTCCTACTTTTACTGGAATTATTAAAGTTTCAACTTTTTTTTATAAGTTGAGATATTGCTTTTATTTTCTTGTTATTTTGTTGCTTGTATTTGATTAGAATATAAAGGTTTGAATTTATTCTTGGATACCGATTATGCACACTTATACAAGATATGCTTATACTAAACAGAATGTTTGATCACTTGCTGGTAGCTCGTAATAAGACCTTATAAGAAACAGTCTCAGTTCTTGTTATTGTACTGGGGCTTTGATTATTTCCATCCCAATTTATTGTCAAATACTTTTTGACACCCAGTTGAGATTAAAAGGCAAGGTGCTTGTTTTCATAAGCAAAGAGGAACACTAAAAATGTGTGTAAAGCAAAATACATGGTCTAGAGTCTCATTCTCTGGAGCTGGCCACCAGAGGCATGTAGGCTTCTAGTTTAAATACCTAAAGAAGGAATGACCTTATTGGCATAGAGAAAAAACAAGAATAAATCTAGCTGACAGGATGAATATAACAAAGAAAGCCTTGTTTAATGTAAAGAGGCACACACACACACACACAAGCACATGTGTGCACAGAATTTAAGCCAAGTATGCATCTGGGTAAATGCCTGCTGCAGTAAAGGCATGGCACTAATGCAAGTGAAAGGGAAGTGGCACATAGGAAAGAATAGGTGCACATCTGCAATGTGTGCAGATGAAATAATTTTTTTCCTTGAGCCACTGTATTTCTGAAAAGCTTACAGTAGAAAAAGAGAGTAAAACCAGGCCACATGCTTACTCTTTTTGGCTTCCTCAAGCTTGTCCTTGGCACGTTTTTCTGCCTGCAAAAGCTGCTGGATTCCTTGGGACTGGCTGGTCATGCTGGTGGCCGAGGCTGATGTACTTCTACAGCGCTCAAGGCTCGGAGGGAGCTTTATACAGCTGCCAGGCCCTTCCCTGTGCTTTTTTCTGTCTGTCAGTTATTACAACAGCCTTCCAGATTACACCAAACCAGCCTGCTCTGTCCAGATTACTTCTGCTAAAAAAGGCTGCTGGTGTAATTGGAGAAACAGCAACTAGATTTACAAGGAACTTCCCTCCTTAGGATCACCAAAGTATCTGGTTCATGCTCTGGGAAAAGAGGAGAAAAGCACTCCAAGTGGCTTGTGATTGTATTTTTTTTTTAATCTTCTGTTGTTGAAGTGGAATATAGTTAAACCTGGTGAGAGGAACTAAGGAGAAAAATAATTTTGGCTCCTAAAATTTGCTTTCAATAAAACTTCCCATGAATGTAAAGAATCAGACTTGGGCAGTACGTAAATAGCTTTGGTTGAATTGGTTGTAGGCTTCTGTTTCACACTGCTTCCTGAAGGTAGTCTCTTTTTTTCTTTTTTTTTCTTAAAACAAAACGTTCATAGGAAATGAGCTCATCAAGGACTGTGGGTTAAATAGGCATGTGCTGGGTAGCTATGATTTCCTGGGGAGCTGAGTGCTGTGCTGGGTGGCTGTGGGCTCTGGGAAGGTAGCTGCTGGTCCATGTATTTCCCTTTCCAGCTGTACGAACACACAGAGCAGTCAAGCAGGTGGGAGCCTGGCTGTAGTGCACATCCGTTCCCTGTGGAGGGAAGGTGACTTGTGTGCTGCTGCACAAATATTTTAAACAAGAATTCAAGATATATTAAAACAGAATCAAATCTTGCTCTTAAAGGTACTTCATGCATTACACGGGAGAGGAGCACATTAAGATTTGTAATGGAGATCTGTGACGACCTTGTTGTTCACTTCATGCATTCTGGTTTTTGTGAGGAAATTGTTTTGAAGGCTTTTTCTTCCCAAGTGGTTGTAGGTTTGTGGGAAAATGGAGGGAGAAGCCTCTTGCCCTGTTATTGCCTTCAGCTGCACTCTGAATGATGGTAGCATTGAGAAAAGGAAGTTTTTTGCTTTTTGGTTTGTGACCCAGGCTCTCTCTGGGAAGGTCTGAACACTTACGTACTCCTTATGGTTTGTTAACAACCTTCATCCAGAAACCACGTGAGATGTCTGCCCAGCTCTAGTGCTGACATCAGAGATCGGCTCTCTATGCAAGGGAACAGACATGGCACTATTTTTAGAAGATTTTAATGCATATCCTTGAAGCTTGCTTTATTCAGAAATAAAAAAGGAAGTGGTAATCAGTTGTACAGAAAATGTGCAAGCTGCAGTGCTGGGAAGCCCGTTGTGCTTCTGGAGCTCAGCTCCAAGTAATCTGACCAGCAAAGAAAAGCAGAAGTGGAAAATGAAAGTATTAGGGAAAAAAAATGGTTAACTTGGGATGGGAAACTTGGGTGCAGAACTTGAAAGCAGCGGTTACTTAAAAATTAAGTGGGAAGCAGAGATGTTGCCAGGCTTTTCTCAGACATCAAAAGTGTATTCAAGGCAAAGGGTCTTGTCGAGCAAATCTCTGTGCTACAAGAAATGAAACAAAGCTGCTACCAAACTAGGCTGTTTCACAGCTTCTGGAATTAACTAAAAGAGCCAGGAGTGAGCTACTTCTGTTTCTCTGAGAAGTTCTCAACGCTGTATTTGTGTTACGTGGACCTCAGTAATGGTCTACGTACTGGTATTTAAAATCTGTTGATTTTAATACTTCACAGAAAACAGTTACATGTGATGAATTTTTATAGGAAAAATTTCCAACTTTGAACTGATTACCAAGCTCTTCCATTATTCAAAAATGCATGCATTTCTAAAGCAGGCCATTTGGGCTGCAAATGTCACATTCACATATTTTAATGCTCATTCTAAATTTAAAAAAAATCTCAGTAATTTGCCCTGTAGTTAGTTTTTGTATGTCCAAGTATGTGGATGAGAAGGCAGCATTCCTGACAGAGCAGGTACTGGCATGTCTCCCCGGGGGGGAAGTTTTGACTGATGCTTATATGCAATTTGTTGGGCTCCACACACACTGCCACCTAGTACTCATTTTGAAGCTCGTCTGGTGATGATGACAGACTATTTTGACATGGCACCTTATGCATATGCCACTTCATGGACAATTCATTAAAATAATGTAGGGTGAGCCACTGACTGACCAGACTCCTACTTCATCACCCAGACAAATAAGTAACTTTTCTGTGCTGTAGTCACAGGCCTTTTTTTTTTTTTTTTTTTTTTTTTTTCCTCAAGTCAGGTCCAGACTCACTTAATTAGAGAAGAGAAGCTGATGTGATGACTGATGATGTGGGCAAAGGTGTTATGAGAGGGAGCGAAGGCAGAGAGGCTTCTTTCAAAGGTGTCTCCATTTCCCTCTTCTGCATCTCATCCAGCTCTCTCACTACTCAGAGTTTTGTGAGTCTTCTCGGATTGTTCTCACCAACATAAAGGAAGATTGGCACAGTTCTGGTATTCTTGCTCCCCCAAAGCAAAACTGTGGCTCTATGTAATGATGAGTCTTATGTGGCATAAGAAACCCTGCAGACACCTTCCTGCTCAGCTGCAGCTTGGCCAGCAGAGACACTCTAAGTCAGCCATTTCTACTTTAGATGGAGGCTGCTGTTTTCTGTCTGCAGTGGGAAGGTTGGTGGCAGTGAGTAAATTCACCCCAGGTAATTCAGATTTTTTTACTTGGAAAAAGGTCTGCTTGCTATGACTCAGATTGATCCTTACCTTGCGCGAATATAGCAGCTTCTCAACACATCTCCCACCAAGCAGTGTTTGCAGCACCCTTTTATTGTGGTTTGCATGTGCGCAGACTGTTCTCTGTAGGACAGCAGCAGGCAGAGTTTCCGCTGAAACTCTATTCAAGCTGAAATTCTCCCATGCATTGTCTGTGTGGTTGTATTTCCTTAAGCATGCACATTTTTGTAACTTTATTTTTTAATTATTAAAAATACTGTTTCTAAGTAGTGCTGATATGAGTACTAAGTAGCACTCTTTGTTCAGGCTGTGGCTTCAAAGCAGTGACTGATTCAATGCTAAAGCATTAAAATAGTAGCGTGTCAGGCAGGACAGCTGGCACAGAGGCTTTTGTGTATCAGCATGTGCACCTTTTGTTTCTTTGCTCTAGACAGGTCTAAGTAAAGAAAAGAAAGCACTGTGCACACCTGCATAACTTACACCATACTGAGGTCTGCTTTTCTAGTGAAAATGAAACATCTTCAACTGGAGCAAGAGCTATCATGTTGAGAAAGAACAGATAGTGCAAAGTTCTGCTGCTTCAGTCAGCGTTAGCATCAAAAGGACTTTGTGTATAACTTAAACTGTGTGCAACAACTATCACATGCCTCTCAAAATTATGTCCTTTTCTTTCATAGTTAAACAGCTATATTTAAAGAGATAGTTTTGAATTCTGTATGGAAGCTATAATTATGTCTGCAATTTGGGATTCTCTCTACAGTGGTTCCTAACAGTGATGCTCTCACTCTGTTAACTTCAGTGCAGTTGACCTCAGCAGCCTAAGTTTCATCTGGAAGCCTGAACAAATATGGGAACAAATAGGTAAGCAAAGATACACAAAGATTAGTGTACTGATAGAAGCAGTTTGCTGCCATAGTGTCTGGCCAAGTTGATTGACAGAGGCCCAGCTCTGACTGGCTTAGCAGCCTCTGTATCCTATATTAAGCTTCTACTTGTTAATCAGCCTGTGTTTTTTCCTAAATTTGGCTGATGCAGTCCAAATACATGCAATTATGTTTGCTTCTTTAGTTGGATGAGCATTCAGAGAAAGCCCGTGTGAGCTATTTAATTAGTCCTTTTAAAAATCTCTTGAATTGCAAGGACACCAATGAAGAAGAATATATATATTTTTTAATTAATCATATGATAAGGTACAGTACATTAAAAAAAAAAAAAAGAAAAAAGGCAACTCTAGTCACCAGCAGTTTGAGATAAATTTATAACCTGATCATTGGTGTGACTGTGATTATCACCTTTTTCAGCCCCAACCAGGTTACTCCTCCAGAGTAGCATGGGGGAGAAAATGGAAGGAGTGAAAGCAAGCGAACTCATGGGCCTAATACAGACCCATATACTGTATTTATGAGTCTAAATACAGTTTAAGAAGTGAAATAAATGGAAAACCAAACAAACAAGCAAAGAGCAAAATCCAAATATTGCAAAGACAAGTCAGTCACCACCTCCCATCAGCAGAGTAATATCGAGTCAGCCCCTGAGCAACGGCTGCTTTGGAAGGAGTGTTTCCTGAGTTATTTCTCTGTGCCTTGTGATATGAGGTGTAAGGTATCCCTTGGCTTATTCCCAGCAGTCCCAGCTGTATTCTCTCACTTCTTGCCCACCAGCCTGCTCCTTCTTGGGGCAGAGTGAGAAGCAGAGAAAGTTCTGATAGTGCGCTATCACTGGGTGTGTTATCAACACTGTTTTGGTCACAGATGCCAAACACAGCAGCAAAGCAGGCTATTGGAAAGAGATTAACTCCATCCCAGCCAGACCCAGCTTGCAGTTTCATTTCAGATGTTTTCTTTCCTTCCCTTCCTTCCTTCCATCTTTTCCCAATGCAGCTATTTACTATTTTTTTTTCCTACCCTTTGGCACACAGAGCATGCCTCTTCTCTTACCACATCCCATTGGTGACTTTTTAGCAATGGTGCCTTTTCAAAGAGAAGTTTGCAGCTCCACCAGTACATCTGTGCAGGCAGGCTGGGAGGAGAGGGGAGGTGGGGAGTCACTTAAATATATTTTTGAACTGTGTAGGCTAACCAAAAACTCGCATCTATGTTGCAGCTCTTCAATTCACTTGAAGAAAGAAATGTAATATATCAGAAAAATTCAGTGCTATTTACAGTTACGTTTACTGAACTGCAAAAAGACACCACTAAGAAAGTAATTCAGCTTTGCTTGCATCCTGGTGAAGCTGAACCTGTAATCTTCTGTACTGTACTTATGTGCTGCAGCTTCATATATAGCTCAAAGGATACTTAACCAATTTGCTGACCTTTGACGAGGACTTTAATTTTGTACTTAGTCATGTCATTGTGTTTCAT